GTTCTCAATTTCAGATCCTCCAGAAGAAGTGAATTCCTTTTCTTTCTTTACTTCTAAAAGATTTATCTTGGACACTGGCTGATACAGGGAAAGTCTGTACCTCCCTCCCTTCTTAATATCATTCTCTGTCCTAGCACTGTCTTAGAAACTCGGAGTTCACTTTTAGGGGGAATTGAAAGCAAACTCCCAGTTTCAAAAATGGTGTCTTTGCAGCGCATCAAGTCCAAAAATATTACATTTGAGGATTTATTTTAGATATTGATATTACCTTTTGAAATATCACTGCTTCCTATTCTGTAAAATATGCTGCATTTGAGGACTGATATGAAATATACCTCTCAGGGCAGGTACTACCAATTTTTATTCCAGAAGATAAATAGAATGTAGACAGACGCTCAGATCTAGCATCATGTATTATGAGGAAATCACAGAAAATGCCATTTGTCCCCGTAAGCCTACTTTACAGAGTTGCCATCTTTTCTGTTTTACGGGGAAGGTAAAATTTGATTTGTCACAATTTTCTTTATTTCTGCTTAAACATGGAAGAACTATTCCAAGTCTAAATTATAGGATTTTTTTTTGGTAAGTTGTTTAACTAGGCCCTCAACCTGGAATTGGCCCTAAATGTGCAGAGAAGGAATATGTCACATAAAAATTTTAGGGGATCATAATGATTTAACACTATGAGCCAAATTATTTTTAACATTTTTTAATAGAGTCTCCAGAAATTTCAACTTCTTCATTTTATAAATGAGAAAAACAAGACTCATTATTTAATGGCTCAGGGTCACATAAAAATGGAATTCAAACCCAGGTTAGTGCAGTGTCAAAATCAGTGTTTTATACCACTTTGTGTAATTTGCAAATCTAAGAACTGTCTATATTTGAGTGAACAAGAAATTGAATTTTAAATAATTTATTTCGCTTATATGTGGACTCTAAAGAATTTAATAAACAGATGAACAGAATAGATTCAATGACATGGAAGCATAGAGCAGACTCACGAATGTCAGAGGGATGGAGGAGGGCGGGTGGGTGGAGGGGGAGAGAGTAACCAAAGAATTTATATGCAAATATGCACAACCCAAGGACACGGACAATGGTGAGGAAGGGGACTGGGGAGGGGGGCGGGACTGGGCGGAATGGGTCGTTGGGGAGGAAAAGGGACATCTGTAATATTTTAAACAAACAAACAAAAAATAAATAATTTATTTAAATTTACTAAACTGAGGCAATATAATATAATAACTAAGAATTATGACTTGGCCCTGGCTAGTTTGGCTCAGTGGTTAGAGCATCAGCCCATGGACTGAAGGGTCCCAGGTTTGATTCTGGCCAAGGGCATGGACCCCAGTTGCAGGCTCGATCCCTGGTCCTAGTCGGGGCATTTGCGGGAGGCAACCAATTGATGTGTCTCTCTCACATCGATGTTTCTCTTTCTCTCTTTCTTCCACCCTCTCTGAAAAGCAGTGGAAAAAATACCCTTGGGTGAGGATTGAAAAAAAAAAAAAGAATAGTGATTTGATGGGGGGGGGGAGGGCAAGGGAGAGTGGCAATAACGTAGGTTATATTGTCTTATAGCAGNTTCTTCCACCCTCTCTGAAAAGCAGTGGAAAAAATACCCTTGGGTGAGGATTGAAAAAAAAAAAAAGAATAGTGATTTGATGGGTGGGTGGAGGGCAAGGGAGAGTGGCAATAACGTAAGTTATATTGTCTTATAGCAGAAAACAAAAAGTAATACATAAAATTGATCAAGAAACAATGGAGTACACACATGAATGTGTCTGAAAGAAGTAATAATGCAATCTCTTAAAAGGGGTTGTACTAGGGGGACTGGGATGGGATTTGAGAAAGGTGGGTTTAACAACTATTGATTTTCATTATAAGCCCTTTGGTATGTTAAGATTTTCTTTATTATTTGACAAAATTTAAAAAGCAAACGCATGATCTAAAATATGTCTTTCATGGTCACCTGTAGATAGCATATCAAGATGCCTTAAAATTGTGGACTAGAAAGGAAAACTGGGATATTTTCTTAGTCTATGCTCAGTGATACTAATAATGTGAAATTGAAGTAAAAGCATTAACTGAGCAACTACTGTTTCTTCAAGGCCTTGTTCTAGGTTCTGTAGGAGATAAGAAAGGAGATGCGGTTGGGTCCCAGGCCTCCATCCTGTTATGGTTTAGCTGAGGGTGCTGGAGCCGAGAAGAGATGGAGATGACCAGCAGGGACTCTCGTTTTGTCTGTGTCTGCTCCACATTGTGCTAGCTACTTACCTTACCTTATTCCTGATGGAAAACATGTGCCATAGAAAAGATAAAATGCAGACAGCTATATGGGTTCAGGGAGTGGAAAGTGGCATTTACTCGTTAGGATCAAGCGAAGCATTTAGGATGGGCCTTAAAATAGAAACAGACTCTCAGATACAGAGAACAGAATGCCAGCTGTCAGAGGGGTGGGGGGTTAGTGGCTGGGCGAAATAGGTGAGGGGATTAAGAAGAAAAAGAAAGAAAGAAAGAAAGAAAGAAAGGAAGGAAGGAAGGAAGGAAGGAAGGAAGGAAGGAAGGAAGGAAGGAAG